CTTGAGAAGACTGTACCGCGTTGGACGTCAATATTGAGTCCCTCCTTCCTATTCTTCGTTCTCTCTGACTCAGAGAACTTAATTGATGAACAAAAAAGCCGAGGAGATCCAATTGACCCGGAAGCGGACATCAACAACTAGTGGAAAAGAGTGGGAGGTAGTAATACAAGCTAGACGATCGTCCAGAGGAAAAGGAATAATTAAATAAATGATTGATAACGAAGCCGAAGTCCGAGCAATGCGCATCTGAATTCAACGAAAAATGAATTTGAAATGAATGGAAAGGGAAGGGAGAGCGAATCGAGTTGAGGCAAGAGGTTCTTTCAAAATGAAAATAAAAAGGGAAAAAAAAAGAGAAATAATAAGAATAAGAATAAGAATAAGAATAAGAAGAAGAAGAAGAGGAAGAAGAAAAAAATAGAAAAAAGGTTGAGATATTTTGTTAGGATGTAAAGGGTACCCTTCGTCTTCCGCAAGAAGGGAGAATTCGTTGAAGAATATCCACAACGCTTGCTGCTCTCGATTCAACAGGTCGCCGAGTCTCGAAGGTCTCCGACACCTCTCTCCCTCTTTCTCTCTCTCTTCCTCTCTCTCTCTTTCTTTCTCTCTCTCTCTTTCCCTCGTCATCCACCGAGGGCTAGGCGCCTTTGTCCAGTTTGTGAAGAAAGAGCTCCGATTTCGATCTCCCTGCTGGTAGAATCTTGGCAGTCCTCGCAATCGGTAGGTTGAACCTACCTACCGGTGGTGCTCCGTGTACCACCACACTACGTCTCTTACGTGTGTCGAGTGGGGTTGCACGTGGAAGAAAGCATAAAAGCGCGCGTTACCTAGTCTGATCCGGCGGAATCTCTCTTCTCAAAGTTTCTCCTCTTCGATTCGATCTAATATCCCCCCACCTTTCCATCCAAACCACCATCATATTATTCCCATCTCTGTTTCGTCTTTTCTATTCTTTTCTCTTATTTTTCTTTTTATTTATTTAGAGTCACGTCTCTACTCTGCACGTTTATTGACGACTTATACTATAATCTATATACATTTAAATATATATAATTTTTGTTCGTCGAGTATACGTTTGTTCCGTGATAAAATATGTTCTATTTGATTGGGTGTGTTTTGTATATTTGTCTCCTAGTTCAATTTATCGCGCTTAATCGTAAATCTTTCGATGCATATATTATTACACCTCTGGATGGAGATTGTTTTGTTATTAAATGAGAATAAGTGTAACAGATATTGTCCAATGAGAAATTTTATTAATTGCATCTGATCTTGTCTATTATCATGCAGTTATCGTATATTGAAGTCGTCGTTTAATAGTTGTATTCTCAGTTTGAGTTTTTTACGGTCCAATTTTATTTCAAATTATCTTCATCTTCATCTTCATCTTTATCGATAAAGTTTATATTAGAGGACGAGATTTTTTCAGAAAGATAAGTCAAATCTCTTTACAATGCGTTTCCACGATCCATGCTGTTTTAGTCAATAAAAAAAAAATCTGATATTCCCCGTTGAAAAAGTATCGTTTTTATTTTCACAACGGGTGGCTCTACTACGAAAGAAAATAAAAGAAGGTGGTGGTTGTTCCTCCTTCGTTTCGAACCAACCAAAAGATAATATCATTTTTTTTGAAAAAGCGACTCCCTTCTATCAGTTAATGAATCTCTCTTTCTCTCTCTCTCTCTTTCTTTCTTATCCACACGTGCGAAGATTACTCTTCGCGAGAAAGAGAGAATGATAAAGAACGATACACGTCCCTGCATCTTTCTCTCTCTCTCTCTCTTTCCTAAAAACACGACAATAGAAACGAGGCGGCCGACGAATTTCGAAAAGGAGAAAATAAAAAATGATCCTTCTTAAGAAAGATAAAAAGATGAGAAAAAGAGAGAAAAAGAGAGAGAGGGAGAAAGAGAATCCTCCCCTCTCCACGGCCTGCATGCTTGCTTGCCGTCCACCCGACTGTCCGTCCGTCCGTCCGTCTTCTCTTTTCATCCTTGCTTGCCTTTTATCCGGGCGGAATGATTAATGGGTTCACGGAGGCACCGCGACGGTACCTTCTTCACTCACTCTCTCTCTCTCTCTCTCTCTCTTTCATTCTCTCTCTCTCTTTCGTAGTCGACATCGAGCACAGCCCATCTTCCGGCGTTGCACGGGGCTTTTCTGCTTTCCTTCTCGTCGGATTATTGACCTCACCCTCTCATACTACTTTTCTTATTTTTTTTTCCTTTACCTTCCTCCTCCCTTTCTTTATCATCCTATCTTTGTATCTACTTATCTATCTATCTATTTATCTATTTATCCATCTTTTTCATTATTATGTAACGCACGCCAAGACGTATTATATATCACTTTTCTAACGCGAACCCGTGAAACGATTAACTTAATCGTGATTTAAAAGAAAAGAAAACAAGAAATCGTGCTAGAAAATAGACAAAAGTCCCTGAGCAGGGGGAAAAGTATATTTTTTACTTCATCTTTTTTTTTTTTTCGTTTTCGTGAAGTAAAAAACTACGACGGGCTTTCATAAGACATTTGTTTCTCTGTTTCATTTCAACGTTTATTGGCACGCGTATTCGAAACGCGTGTAATAACACTTGGCGAGTAACCCTCTCTCTCTCTCTCTCTCTCTCTCTCTCTCTCTCTCTCTCTCTCTCTCTCTCTCTCTCTCTNTCTCTCTCTCTCTCTCTCTCTCTCTCTCTCTCTCTCTCTCTCCCTCTCTCTCTTTCTCTCTCTCTCTTTCTATCACTCCGAAATGAAAGAGAATATTACTTCCTTCTGTTTCTTGATCTTTTTCTTTGACTTATTTCTTTCTTTCTTCCTTCCTTTCTTTCTTTTTCATCTCCGTTCTACGGATAAGAGAAAAGAAGAGAAGAGAAGAGAAGCAAGAAACCAAGACGTATCGCCAAGTCGTGTCCGCTTCGGCGATCGCATGATAAATCACGTGAAATTTTTCGGTATCAATCACGACGCTCGCTTGATTCTCTCGAGTCCGCGAGAGATGAGATGTGTTAGCTGGTGTGTGCGTCCTTCTTCTACTTCTCATCTTTTGTTCCACGAAGAAACGATGTCGACGTACATATGTAATAACGTACGAAGAACGTACGAGTGGCGTCTCGAAAACAGGAACAAAACACCCGGCCTAAAACACTTTTCTCTCTTTCTCTCACTCGCTCTTTCTTCTCTTTGATGTTTCAACTCGTTTTCGCTAAGAGTTCACCGATTCTAAAACCTTACTCTCTCTCTATCTCTCTCTTTTTTTCTTTATCTTGAGAGAACTCTCAGAGAAGGCTTTTGGCCTGCAGGCTTCGAATTTCGAGGCTCGACGAAGCGTGGCCCATTCGATTTCACGGCCTAACTTTTCGTGAATTGGTGCAACGAGAACGAGACAGCTTAATTGAAACGAATAGAAAGAGAAAGAAAAAGTCAACGAGGAAAAAAGAAAGAAAGAGTGTGTGTGTGTGTGAGAAAAAAACTAAACGTTTGTTCACGTATTATACTCTAAGCGACAATGAAGTCGCGATGGTAAAGCCCGAGTTAGGATCCCTTTAGATCGACGCGAGGTTAACATACATAATGTATGAATATTGAGTGAGGGAGACTTCGAACGATGCCAGGGATGACTCACGAATTGAGAATTCGATGGTCACGAGACTTTACAGAACTTACATAGAATTCCGCTAATCGTATGGATCCTTTGTTTCTTCAAGCGGTTACCTAATTTGTCAAAGGAATGACAAAAGATGAATTAACTTCTACCTTTAGACGGGAAACATAATATAAAAATCCATATATATATATGAGATTAATAAAATATATTCTTACGCATTTATCTAACGACACGATTGAATAATCAAAAATAAATAAAAAGTAGGGAGCGGGAGAAGGTAAAAAGAAAAAATACAAAAAAAAAACAAATTGATTAAAATAAATTCGTTAGAAAATGATTGAAATCGTTATTGGGGAGACAAGAGTCTACAATGAGATAACAGTGCAACGCACAAATCTATACACATGTAAAACTATATCTATAAGCCGCGTAAGTAAAGTACGTAGGTAGAACATACACTTAACAGCAACGGGAAACGATGACGCGGGCCGATTTCAAAGGCATCCATCGATCGCGAGGCCTCCTAGTCGTCGTCGACGACGACGACGACGACGACGACGACTACGACTACGTAGACGACGCTTTGCGTACTCCGACCGACCGACTTTATGAGTTATAAGTCGGCCATCTTGCCAGAGCCATCGCATATTCACGTGCGCGCATATGCGATGCACCGGCAATATGTAAGTGCCACATTCTGTTCTATGCACGTACAGTCCTCCCTAAAAACAACGCGGCATCCCACTTCTACAAATGGTTTTGCTCGATTTCCGATCAAACTACAAGACGAAGTAACGCGACTTTATAAATACGTGAATGTTTTAGTAATATTTTTTTGTCCTTACTGTATGAAATTAAAAAAGAAATAGAAAAAGAGAGAGAAAGAAAGAAAGAGGGATGGGAGAAGGGGAAAAGATTGAGAGTTGAAGTGATTCTATCATCGACTTCGAAAGTGTCCAAGGCCAAAAGTTCTAAATTGAATGGTAGCCAATGCCAATCTGGTCCAGTCGAGCTAACAATTTCGTCGAATACTCTGGTTCAAGTGGTTCTAATTACCGACAAAGGCTACGCCACCGGTGTGATCGAAATAATAGCTTTTTCTCACCGAGAACGAATACGAGTGCGAAAGAAAAAGAAAGAAAGAGAGAGAGAGAGAGAGAGTGAGAATATAACGGTGAGTTCAACGACGAGTTTGCGAACACGAAACACTTTTTTTCTCGAGTGACGCCCACTCGCTAATAAAATGACTCTCTTACTCCCCTTCTCTCTCTCTCTCTCTCTTTCTCTCTTATTCTTTTTAAAGAAAACACGCGCTAAAGTTTGAACCGAAAATTAAATGGAAAAAAAAGTCGGAGAGATTTTTGTAATAATTAAATTAAATCAAATAACTTACCTTGACCATGTTGACCGGTATTGGGGTTCATGAAGGTTGGTGGTAGTTGCCGGCTGACCGATTTCGCGAGTTCACTACCCGCAAGACCGTAAATCGCTAAAAGTTCTTGCATCGTCGATTCAGCGTACTCTCTCATTCCTTCGAAAGGTTTCCTCTCATTCTCGCATTCCGTTTCAACGTCATTGTCACCATCATCGTCACCATCACCATCGGGATCACCGTCTTGCATACGATCGTCATCGAACGGCAATTCCTGATCATCCAATCGTCCCGAATCCGCGTCCAAGACTATACTTCCGACACTTTTCTCCGAGGAGTCCGAATTTGGACTCCTGACCTATTAATCGAAAAATGAAAAAAATAGTTTGTCCTCTTAAACTATCAATAGATAGACAAATGTTATTATATCAAACGAGTATATTTGATTAGCATTTAAATATTAGATATTCAATACTTCGAATTTTGTTGAAATCAACATAAGAAAAAAGAAGAAGAAGAAGAAGAAGAAGCTATATAACATTAAAATGATATGTAAAAAGTATGTCCTATTAAGTTTCGAAATATCATTCAAAGATGACAGTTAAAATATGATTAATTTTGACTAAAGAATTTATGAAAATGTTTAAATTCGCGTATTGACGTTGAATAATACGACAAATAATATTTCAAAATATAAAATTAAATTGATTTAAAAACTAATCGAATCTTCTTTCTAGGTATATATATATTTGCGGGAAGAAAAAAAAGGATAAATGAAAGGATTGAAAAAAAATGTACTCGCCTCCGTGCCCGGGGAATAAAGTTTCTGAGAGTTTAGCCGTTCGAGGATGAACTTGTGCCCGAGGGAATCGCCGCTGTCGTCATCGACGTCGGAGGAGGGTGGCCTCGTTGCGACCGAGAGGTCCATCGGGCTGACCTCGTTGTTGTTCAGCCTCTGTTGCTTCGACCTTTCGTCGTTAGATACGGCACCCGGTAAAAGCATGGTTTTCCTTTCGTATTCAAGGATCTCGTTGGTGCTTGGCGTATCCTCGACGCCGAGTATAAGTTCCTCGGATTCTTGTTCCTGTTCCTCATCCCTGTCCGACTCGTCCGAAACTTCGGCCATTCGACTGTTTATCGGTTTGAAATTTTTCCGCTTGTTACGTGGCTTTTGTATGCCCGATATCTGCAATTGGGCTTGCGTCTCGTATCGGGACTCGCCGTCCTGATCGGCGGTACCTCTTCGAGTCGTTGCGTAATTGTAGACCGAATCGGACAGCATCTCCGCTAAATTTGTTACAAAAATTATATCTTCCATCGTTTCATTTAGTATTTATTAAGGACGTGATTGTTTCGTTAACAAACAAAAAATAAAAAAAAGAATATTATAATCGATCGGGAAAAAATAAGATGAAAAATTTCTTTTCTTGCTCGTTTTATACGATGGTAATACTTGGAATACATTTTTTTCCGCGATATGAGAAGACAAAAAAAAAGAAAGAAAAAGAAAAACGACTTACTGGGTCCATACGGGCTGGTAACGGCGGACATCTCGAACCTCGCCAAGAACCCTCTCCTCCCTCTTCCCTGTCTATATTTCACTGATGTATCATCCTGTAAAAATAAAAAAAAAACGCACAGATACGACACTGACGTCATGTTTTACGATTGGAAGAAAAAAAGATTGGCTTGACACTCTCTTTCCTTTTTTTCTACTTCTCTCTCTCTCTCTCTCTCTCTCTCTCTCTCTCTCTCTCTCACACACACTTCACCTAACAGTCATGTCGTTTGCAAGCAACATTAATTTTTCTTACATTAGACTAGACTTCGATCGAACTCTTTACGAGTCTTCTATTACATTTATTATCTGCAATATGCATATGTAGATGCACATATGTTTTCACATAGGTGTTGCTCGCATAGTGTTACGCGTTCGAGGAGGCTTAGTAATGACGTAGATTTGATTGAATTAGCGAGGAAGAGCTCTCGGCCTATATTTCTCTTTGCTAGCTCGAGAAGCTCGTTTTACTCGTGACCTGCTTTCCAAGGATCGTTCGAATAAAATTCTCTTATGTTAGTTCGATATTTGTTCGATTCTTATTATTCGATCGATTATATGGAAAATCATCGTCCAATATGAGAGAAAAAGAAAATTCTTGTACGTTAAAAACGCGTTGATCGGTTTTTCGATCGTTGGAATGTCGTTTACAAAAGTTCATTAAAACGTCTACGTCGGGAATTCGTTCGAAGGAAGTATTGAAGATGAAGATGACGATGATGATGAAGAAAAAGAAGGTAAATAGAAATAAAGAAACAAGAAATGAGAAAGCGTGATAAATATTAACGTTCGATCAATCGAAAGAATCTACGCCTTTAATACTAACTGTCCATTTATAGCCTCCTGTCTTTGCCTTTCAGATGAGAAATACTCGATGGAATTTTAATACGTTGAAAAAAAATATCATTTTCTTTATTAGAGTTTCGATTCCAAAATAAATATACACATGTAGGTATATGTATATATAACTTTATAATGCGTCTGTAATATTATGACAGCGGACTATATTAAGAATCGGTAAAAAAAAAATTCACATTACAATTTATTTACGATTACAATAATAATCGAAACAATTTTATCTAATTATTTAAACTAAAAACAAATTGTCTCGTAATTATCGATATATAATTTTAATTAAAAAATATTCAACGAAATTTCATATACATTAGTGTTAAAACATTTATTTGAAATATTTAGCTGTGTTATACGTTGAACCATGTTTGAAATAAGAGATAGAAAAGACATATACGACAGGTTTCAAAGTAGAATTCGAGATCGTGACTATTTTTCGCAGGAGGCTTATACACAGAAGGGATAATTAACGTCTGTTAGAACGAAGTAGTCTAAGAAACGATCCGGGCTGGGCTGTTACACCCCACCATCGAGACTATGGGGCGGACCTTGAATACATTATCACCCTCTTTGCACGTGTGTATTACTCCGAGTAATACGTATAAAAAAATGCGTAGACTCGAATCGTACAGAGCGAGTATTCGAGTCCGATCTGCAAAATATTATCTTTATCATCCTTTTTTCTTCTTATTCTTATTCTCCGTTTCATTTACGTACGCACGTACGTTTCGTCAAATTAAATGGGAATACGATCGGTTAGAAAAATAAATAAAGAAATAAATAAAGAAATAAATGGAAGAAATCCTTCGACGTGCATCCGTCTTTGTTTGAAATCTAATGGACCGCTCGGATGTCTGAGCAACGAAATATTAAGTACCACGTTCCAAGAAACGAACGTCTCTACGCGAAACGCGTCCATCCATCTTCCCTCTTATCCGTATCTCATCGTTAGAAGGGATAGAAAGAGAGAGAGAGAGGGAGGAAGAAGGAAAACAAAGATAAAAAGACAGAAAGAAATAGAATAAAAAAAAAAAAAACAAAAAAAGGGATAAGAAAAGCTTCTTCTCTTCTTTACGAAGAATTTCGTTAAAGAAATAGGAGGAAACTTTCCAAAAAGGGAACGTAAGCTTCATTTAACTCGCCCGCAATAACCCTGACGGCAGCGAGAGAGAGGGCTTTTGTTTTTGGCACCATACGGTAGACCGCAAAGTCTCGGGAAAAGCTCGGGAAAAAGACGCGGGGGGATAGAAAGAAAAAAAAAAAAGAAATTCACCTTTCGAAAGAATCCGCTACTCGAAATTCCACAAACGTTTGCCCTGGATTCTCCTGTTGTGGACGAGTTTGTTTGATAAAACGAACTACGCGAATAAAGAATTTACCAAATTCTTCCGTTCCTTCGTTCCTTCGTTCGTTCTATCCCTTTTTTTTTCCTAGTTGTTTCTATTTCTTTTTTTTTTTTCTTCTTATTCTTTTTGCAATTCTATTCTTTGTCCCGTTAATTCAATTCGACGGGGTGTAAGTATATATATACACATATATATATATATATATATATATATATATATATATATACCATCGATAAGAACGCGTGGTCACGAGCGTGTTTTATAAATGGTATATGAGAGTGCGCGAATACGGAGAAGTGTAGTCGTAATGGGCGCATGTCACGCTTTGACGCTGATGAGACCAAGGTGTTAGCTGCTACCTAACGCGAAAGGAAATGCGAAAGGGAAAAGAGTCAGAGAATTATAGAGAGATGGGGGGGAGGAGGAAGGGAATGGAAGGGAAGGGGGGCAGCGGGTGGAATAGGGAAAGAGAAAAGGGAGATACCCTAGACTACCACACACACACACACTCTTTTTTCTCTCTCTCTCTTTTTTTTTCTTTTCTTTTCTTTTTTTATTTCTCTCTTTCCTTCGGTCTTTTTCACTCTTTCATGGGATAATTGGTACATGAAGATAGCAGAACACGAAGGCGATTCGCGTAAATTAATTGCCGGACGTTAAAGTCGAGCGCGAACGAACGTGCCTCTTCTCCCGTGTTGGTTACTTCTTACTTATTTCTTTTCCCCGTAAAATCGCAAGGCGAGACACGTACGCGACGATATATATATATATATGTATGTATATCGAAGGTAGGTACATTTTCATTGGTGTGCGTTTACGCGTGTGTTAGACCAGTAAGCATGAGTACCCCATTGCATTCGGTTGCTTACACCTACGTAAAAGAATACGTACAAACGTACGTAGGGGAATAAAATCGGTAGAAAGACCGCGATATAACACACCACTTTCCATTCCGCGACGATTTTAATGCGATTTAAACGAGAAACCGGTTGCCTACGAGTAACTAAGCGAATTCGAGAATTCTCTTCGTGAGTGTATCACCGAAACGTGTCTCACTCAACACGTGGTGGTTACCTTCTTTATATTAACCCTTTCCCTCTACCCTTCCCTTTCCCAGACGCCACCACATTTTTATTCGTTTTTCCTTGTTTACCTTCTTCGATTTTTTATTTTATAGTTTTATATATTTTTTTTCCTCTTCTTCCTTCTATTAATAAAAGAGGAAGAAATTGAATCGAAATTATGTAATATATTATATATATATTATATATAATTATGTAATATATATATATATATATGTGTGTGTGTATGCATTGAACCATAGGTATCTTTGATAAATTTATTCATATCAAATTGTTTGATATATCTTTTTACGAACTTTTTAAGTAATATACTGTTTTTTCTGTTCCTTTTTTTCTCCCCTTTTTTTTCTTCTTCAAACAAACACTATTTCTTGTTTACCTTCGATCATCCTTGTTTTTTTTTTTTTTTTTTTTCATTTTGTATCACATTGCCAGATGAAGAAACTTGAAATTGCATAAGCGAATTTATAATAATATTACGTTGATCCATAGATCTCGTTGGAGAAAATTTATTCATATCGATAAAATATTTTTGATCTGTTATAATATATACATATATATCTTAACTATATTTTTTAAGTTTTGTTATTCTTTCTTGTTTTCGTTTGTTGTTTTTTTTAATCCCATTTTCTTTCTCTTTCCGGTAATTTCATTTTTTTGTTGTTGAAAACATACTTGACGTTAAAGGTTGGAATTCGTTAAGAGTGAGAGTGAGAGAGAAAGAAATATAGATAGATAGGAGAGGCTGATCCGTGAGAGCGAGGCACCCACTTGACATAACTCGACGCTGATGCCGATGCCAGAAGGAGGAAACAAAAAACTCGGCGACGTAACGCGTTCGTTCGTTCGTTCGTTCGTTCGTACGTACATTCGTTCGTTTATTCGTTCATTCGTTCATTCGTTCGTTCGTTCGTCAAACACTTGAACGTAACGTTGTCAGCCAGGCCTCCTCCTCCTTGGAGAAGCCCAGCTTCTCCAAGAGATCTCGCGTGTTCTGGAGTGTCTCTAACTAAGCAATAAGGCATCAAGAAAATAAGAAAATAAGAAATTTTCAAGACAAATAATAAAAGGAGAAAGGGGTCTCAAATAAAAATAGAAGGGACAAACAATTTAATAATTCTCGTTATTTTCCTAGGAGATAATAGGTAAAAAACATTTTTCTTCTTACATTTCGATAAATTTAATGGAAATTTGTATTCGAGCGAAAGGTAAGAAAAAAATAAAATGAAAATAAAACAAAAAATGAAAAAGAAAGATTGTGTGGCGGTAGTTAATTTAAAAAGTTGACAGAAAGTTTTTCGAAGAGTCGTACAAACAAACTTAGAGAAGAGACTGACTTGTGATTATTCGCTATGCAAATTGCTTTGATAATCGGTCGAAACTTTGCAGAGAAATATTCCCCAGATTTCTTGAGAAATGTATTTTTAGAGAGTCTCTCTCTCTCTCTCTTTTTCTCATACACACAAACTTACATACGCTCGCGCGCGCGCTTTATCTCTGTCTTTCCTTACATTCGATACCGTTGCTCGTACAAAGTTCGAGTGTTTTCGAGGATACTTGACGAAAAATACGAAAGAGTAGGAGAGCAAGATAGAGATAGCATATGAGAAAGAGAAAGAGAAAGAGATTTGCACAAATTTCTCCTCGATTTCATTTCTGTCCTCTCTGCGTGTTGCCAGCGCGAAATTCAAATATTAGAAACAACAAGCGTGTTCTTCGAGTTAAAGATTTTATTTGCGTGATGCTCGAACGTTAAACGTTATCCACTCGTGGCGA